CGACTGAAGTGTAGCTAAATCGTTTATTTATAGCCTACTACTAATGCTAAAAATCTGACATCTGATTTTAAGCATGGTAAATCAAACGTTTTTTATAATAAATTTAATTGGTTTGAGGATGAAAATTTTAGTTTATAAGGACCGCAACTTGCTGACAAAATAAATTAACACAAAAAAGATTGATTGCCAACTGTTGGATTATAGATGGGCTTTGGCTCATATAAGACAATAATCACTGGTTAATCTCTAAAGCCTATTTAGGTGCATGATAAATGGTGTGAAGTTTAGTACCATATTGCTAGTGGAGTAAGAGCTGCTCTCCATATGCCATTTGAGCTTGGAAAGAGGAGTTGTACACGCGCGCTTCTCCTCCTACGCCGCCCGCCTCGCCTCAACGCGGGCTGGAATGGGCCGAGCCTTATTTTTGCCACTCCCTTATGCATAACCCTAGTCGTTATCTATCGTTCCTCTCTCTATGCTGCTTCCGATGATCCCTGGTCAGGAGAGTAGGTGCCTCCGGAACCTTGTCGACTGCTCCTGATCCGTCCCCCTCCATCCTCCTCTGCTTACCCTGCATCGACACCATGGCCGCCGCCGCCGCCGCCAAGAAGAAGGCCACGGACTCTGAGGCTGCCGCCGCCGCCGCGTTGGCCTGGCCAACCGGAGGGTATGATTTGTTCATCCCTCATTTATCTCTTTCATGTGCTAGTTGTATATGTTGTGTTCATAGATGTTTCGATTTTATGTACTGTACGTGCTCACATGCTTAGGTATCGGTATGAGTTGCATACTGTGATTGCCATGGTTATTGTTTACTCGTGGATTAGGTTAATCAATAAACTGCTAATATTTCCAACACCAACTTTATATTTGTAATGAAGTCCTTTATTATTTGCGGAATTTCCTCCTGAGTCCTGAGTATATTTTCCAAAGCGGAGGGCTGTTGCACAAATCTAGAAGCACACGAGAAGCATTGTTCTATGGACTTGTATTGCTAATCTGATCATCTTCAGAATTGCTATTGTCCTGCTCCTGTTCCCCCTCTTGTAAAAACTGGTATGACTCGTAGGGTACTTCTTTTCGACAACTGGACGGACCATTATGTGTAACAACTTAATCATAATTTTTGAATCGACGAACAACTTGAACTGATTTAGGAGGAAAACAAGGTGATACAAAAAATCTAGAGGAATATGATGATTTACTGTCGCAAAGCATATACTTTCTATACACACTTTCTGACTTTCAGGACAAACTTCAGACAAGTTGGCAACCTCCTCTTACAAGTTGCTCAAAATCCACAGGGATACAGGAGACCGGAGACGTAACATTCACATATACCTTGCTGTCACACCTCCCGATTCCAGATACAGCGCCACAGAAGGCTTAGATCTTGTGGACAAGAACTTGAGCACCGTACTCGGGTTGGAGGGTCATCGCCATCATCGGCGCATGAACATAGGACGGCGAGACATCAAACGCAAAGCGTTGGAGGACCATTGCAAGCGCCAGCTTTGCCTCAACCATCGTGAGATTCTGGCCAACACAGATGGCAGGGCCAATCCCAAAGGGGAAGTACGCGCCGAGGTGATAGCTCTTGCCATCTGCAAACCTCGATGGATCAAACTCATCCGCATTAGCTCCCCATATGTTGACATCATGGTGCATCTCAATAATAGGCAGATTGAGCTGTGTGCCCGCAGGGATGTCGAGTTTGCCTAGCTTCACATCCCTACTGACCGTCCTGTTGACGAACAGAGCTGGAGGGTACAGCCTGAGGGTCTCCTTCAACACCATATTTACCTGATATCATGCCAACATCACCGAAGTGTTACTCGCTATGTCCCGATAAGGAGATATCATCAAGAATATAAAAAACTGTACTATTCGTTCAAATTAATAGGGCTCACAATTTTGAGACTGCTCAAGGTTTCCGCATTTGGGTGCTCGTTCTTGCCACACACTTGCAAGACTTCATCTCGGGCCTTGTGTTGCCATTCTTTACACAATGCCAGCAGAAGTGTTGCCCATGTCAATAAATTTGCAGTTGTTTCTTTACCGGCAAAGTAAAATGTTTTGCACTCATCAATGATCTCTTCGATTCCCATTTTAAACTCAGTGTCAGTTTTGCTGGCTGATAGCATCAAGCCAAGCAAATTTTTGGAATCTTCACACTTCTTTCGATTTATCTCAATCAATCTGCGCAAAGAATTTCGGATTTCCTTGTTTAGGCTATGCCTTCTTTGGTTCTTCTTTGTGGGCACAAACCTAAGAGCGAAGAAGGTCACAATCTTTTTCCCTCAACTGTAGCATTTGATTGAAGAGCAAGAGTAACAACCAACAACAGAGTGGGGCAAATAATTTTTCCAATGTAAAAATGAAGAAACATGTGATAGGAACTACTCCCTCCGTCCGAAAAAACTTGTCCCAAGCTTGTCCCTCACATGGATGTATCTAGCACTAACTTGGTGCTAGATACATCCAGTTGAGAGACAAGCTTTTTCGGACGGAGGGAGTATACGTTTACTGATGGAGAATAAATGGTGACCCAAAGTGTACGAGTCTATCTCACCTGAATCCAGGAAAGTAGAAGGTTCTCATTGCAAGGAGTGCAAGTTGTACCTGTTCATCTTGCAATTGAAAAATTCGCTTTCCTTCCTCGTAGCTACTTCCAAATGCTATACAAGAAATGACATCTGCACTCAAAGTGTGGAATTCTTTATTTACATCAATCTCAAACTCAGCGCGGGTTTCTCCTTGAACTTCCCATTTATCCAGCATGGATGAAGTGATAGCTGATATTTCTGGAATCCAACCCTACGAAAAATCCAGAAATGAATTTAGTGGTAAACTATATATCTGATTTAGTGCATTATCTACATCACAATTGTTGATCCCATCAGCATGTTAATAGAAAGAAGAAACATGGACACCACAGGTTAGCTTCTGCCAGCTTCAAATTCTGAGTGAAATAACTAGTCATGCAGATGGTTGAATTTCAATAACAAATGTTTCCAATCAATATACAACCATTTGGTGTTTGTTAAACTATTCAGTTTTTTTTTGAGGATCAACTATTCAGATAAGTTCATTACAAATATTCAGACACACTGATAGAAGTCCAACTAAAAGTGAGCAGAAAGAATGTTCAGAAGGAATTGCTTGAAATAAGTGTGTACACGGTCCCCTTCAATAACAGCACCAAGTTCAAACTAATTAAAAAAGTCCGATAGTTTCGTAAAGAGATGGGTGCCCTGATCCGAAATTTCACACCCTACGCCTGGATCATAGCAACAAAGATTTAGCGAGACTTACATATATCTGAGGATCTTGTTTAGGTAGGTTGAAATCGCTAGGTAAGCTGCTACCATTTAGCATGATGTGAAGATAAATCGTCTAAGTATGTTTCTATTCAAATTGAGGAAACGCATCCACACCTTGATTCTCTCCATGTTGAAGGCGGGCGATATCACACGGCGGTGGTGCGCCCACTTCTCCCCGGTGAGGGCCACCAGCCCCTCGCCGAGGAGCTGCCGAGAGAGCGGGTTGACGTTGCTCCCGGAACCCTTTCTGAAGGCCCCCGTGGAGTCGGTCAGCACGGCCTTGGCGACCTCCGGGCCGGAGACCACCAGCCGCGGCCGGGGCCCGAACCAGAACACGAACGGGCGGCCGTACTGCGCCGCCCAGTCGCGGTATTCCGGCGCGGCGCGGCCGACGAAGGCGTGGTGGAAGGAGGCCAGCGGCGCGGAATGGGCGGCGATCAGCGCGCCGTACTCGGCCGCGTTGCCGTAGAGCAGGCTGCGCGGGGGCCCCCGGATGCCCTGCCGGCGCAGGCGGCGCTCCAGGCGGTGCGGGACCCACACGAGGGAGCGGAGCAGGCGGAGCAGGTACGCGAGCGCGGCGAGTAGGGCCGCGAGGAGAAGCGCGGCGAGGGCGGCCATTGCTTACTGCTTGGAGTTTCTCTGGAGAAATTTGATATTTGCCACTTGGCACATTTGCCACCGCCGCTTCGCAAATTTGCCATCGAGCTGATTGTCGTTTCACCTATTCTTTTTTTACTGATTTTCCTTGTCTTTATCCACAGAGCATGGCCGTCGGCCATCGGTGGCCGCCGGCTCGCTTGGTCCAGAACTTCTCGAATGGCTGCTTGCAGAGGAAAACAGATGCATGCAGAAGAGGCCGTCTCTTCTTTCACAAAAGTTAACTGCGACGTTTTTGTTTTGTCTTTTGGTACCTTTGATGCTACATTTTAAGTTAATAAAATGTCTTTTATCGAA